TATGTTCAGTGTATGTGTGTTTTGTATTGCATTGTGTCGTGTTTTTGTTCTGTCGGTGCACACGGAGTGCCTTTCTTGCGAACGTATTCCAATGTGGTTTTTTAACTGCACATGGCCAAATAAATGAATCTTGAATGAATCTTGAATCTTGGATCACTGGGGCTTGGTTGCTCCAGAGCCAAAGGGAAGCGTTTCCTATGGGGAATAATTCTTAGTTACATAATGTAACTGTAGTTCTACGAATGGTGCGTGGGTATGACTCTAGAGACGCCGAGCCTCCCGCCAGAGAGAAATCAATGCTCCAATCACGGGCGAGTCCCTCCTATGAATTAGCCTGGCTCTGCCAGACCCTTGTAGTTCCGCCATGCTCCACCAGAGGCGTTTGGCTGAACCACATGGGTCTGGTATCGAGCCCATAGCGAACGCCTTCCCCAGATTATTTTTTAATCGACCAATCAGGATTGCCGGTGTTACGTGGGTTCTGCACTGCCTTCTCAAGCTTCTCTCAAGCAGCAGCGAGAGGAATCCAAGATGGCGGACGTAAAGTCCGCGAATCTTTTTAAAAGAGTAAATACGATCGAATTAAGACACGGAGGTCACTTTTAATGCAATTTGAGGCGAGATGTAGATGGTTCTATGTTGATATATGTGTGTTTTAAGAGTCAAATGTTCCTGTAAAGTTTGGTTGAAGCACTGGTTCAGTGTTCCTGTTTACACACTATGCAGCAGGGTTGCCAGGTTTGGTGGTTCCCGCATATTTTTTTCTAAGAGACTTGTAGGTATTAAATAAACAGAAAGACAATAAACACAATCATGATAGCCCAAGTTGATTATATTACGTTTTTAGCCAAAAAAAATCATTCTGAGTGTTTTTTTTTGTGTGGGTTTTGGGTTGGAAAATATCAGAATCAGAATCATTTTTATTGCCACGTAAGTAACAGGAGGTCACAGACTAGGAAATTGCTTTGGCTCAGTGCAACAGACAGAAAGAGATAATAAAAATAAGAATAAAAAACACTTCTAAAGAATAAATTTAAATTTAAAATAGAGTTACAGTTACTATTTACAATATACAAGTGCACATGGTGCACACAATGTAAGGTGACAGCAGTACAGTGAAGTAAAGTGACGTATGATGGGCAGTAAAGTGACTTTATAAAGGGCGGGGGGACAGGTTAAGAAGTGTTCAAGAGTCCAACAGCAGAGGGGAAGAAACTGTTCTTGTGGCGGGAGGTTCTAGTCCTGATGGACAGCAGCCTCCTGCCTGAGGGGAGTGGTTGGAATAGTCCATGTGCAGGGTGAGAGGGGTCGGCTATGATACAACCAGCCCGGGCTCGGGCTCGGGCGACGTACAGGTCCTGCAGCGATGGAAGGCTGCGGCCGATCACTTCCTCTGCAGAGGAAGTGATCAGAGACAGTAGTCTCTGTTTGTCCCTGACTGTGGCTCCAGCGAACCACACGGTGATGGAGGAGGTGAGGATGGACTCGATGATGGCCGTGTAGAACTGCACCAACATCTGTGCAGGCAGCTTGGCTTTCCTGAGCTGCCGCAGGAAGTACATCCTCTGCTGGGCCTTCTTGATGAGGGAGCTGATGGTCGGCTCCCACTTGAGGTCCTGGGTGATGGTGGTGCCCAGGAAACGGAAGGACTCCACAGAGGTGATGGGGGAGTCCATCTCGGAGGGTGGGGGTGGGGGGACAGTGCTCTTCCTGAAGTCCACAATCATCTCCACTGTCTTCTGGGCGTTCAGCTCCAGGTTGTTACCACTGCACCAGGACACCAGCCGGTCCACCTCCCTCCTGTAGGCGGACTCATCGTTGTTGGAGATGAGTCCAATGAGGGTGGTGTCATCCGCGAACTTGATCAGCTTCACGGAGTCGTGGCTGGAGGTGCAGTGGTTGGTGTACAGGGAGAAGAGCAGGGGAGAAAGAACACAGCCCTGTGGGACTCCTGTATTTATAATCCGAGAGTCCGAGACATTCTTCCCCAGACGCATTCGCTGCTTCCTGTCCGTCAGGAAGTCAGTGATCCACCTGCAGGTGGAATCGGGCACGTTGAGCTGGGAGAGCTTGTCCTGGAGCAGGGATGGCAGGATTGTGTTGAAGGCAGAGCTGAAGTCCACGAACAGGACCTTGGCGTAGGTCCCCGGGGAGTCCACGTGCTGTAGGATGTGGTGAAGGGCCAGGTTAATGGCGTCGTCCACAGATCTGTTGGCTCTGTAGGCGAACTGCAGGGGGTCCAGAAGGGGGGAGGTGAGGGACTTGAGATGGGAGAGGACCAGGCGTTCAAATGACTTCATGACGACAGACGTAAGTGCTACAGGTCTGTAGTCGTTGAGTCCTGTGATCCTGGGCTTCTTCGGGACGGGGACAATGATGGAGGATTTGAAGCAGGCCGGGACATGGCAGGACTGCAGAGAGGTGTTGAAAATGTCAGTGAACACAGGAGTAAGCTCACTGCCGCAGTATCTCAGAGTGGCCGGAGACACGTGGTCCGGGCCAGGAGCTTTGCGGGGGTGCAGCCTCAAGAAGAGTTGTTTAATCTCTTTAGCGGCTATTGTTAGGCTGGGATTTGGCAACCTATGGGAGTCGTGTGCTTCGATGTGAGTGGTTGAAAGCAGACTTCATTCAAGATAACAGACAAGTGGTCTATCCAATCACATACAAGGATTTTTTTAACAAGGCCCTGCCTTCTGAAATCCAACCACTATGGCTCAGTACCAGACTCATGTGTGAAGTGCAGCGAACTACATGGGTCTGGCGAGAGTCAGGCTACCTATGAATAGCCCTCTGCAGCCCGCACCTGCCACCTTGAACTCTGCCAAAGCCAGGCTGGACTGATGGGCCTGTAGCTAAGGGGCTACGCACCATTCGTAGAACTACAGTTACATTAGGTAACTAAGAATTCTACATCATGGTGCTAACGGTCCTTAGCGCTACGCTATGGGTAACCACGCGTAGGCCGTAGGAAGATGTACTCCCATCAGGCCAGCGTAGAGTTATTAGAGCCCTGCCCGAGATTACCCCAACACCACCAAGGTGAGCGGGCTCAGGGCAGGAAAAAGAAAGAATAAGCAGTGTCATGGGCCGCTCCTACCAAGGACGCCTGAAGAACACTGACAAGCCCCTTCCAAGGGCAACTGAACCAGAGTTAAAGGCCGCTCCTACCAAGGACGCCCTAAGCACTCTGTCAAAACTCCCCTGTGAGCAAACACAGGCCGCATTCCCAGGACGCCTCTACCAAGAGCTCCTGAAGGAATGGCAAGGACCATCCCGCCCTCAGGGAACAAGGGCAGGCCGCAACCCCAGGACGCCTCTACCAAGAGCTCCTGAATAGGGCGACTATCTCGTGCATACACTAATAATAATAATAATAATAATACCTTTAATTTGTAATGCACTTTACATACAAATCTCAAAGTGCTACAGCACAACAACAATAAAAGCACACATCATTAAGTTAAAACGGTGTTAAAACAATGTTAAGAAGGAAACAGAAAAGTTTTAAGTCCTCTTTTGAAGTTCTCCAATGACTGTGGGGCCCTCAGGTGTGGTGGTAGGGCGTTCCACAGTTTGGGAGCAGCCGCCTGGAAAGCCCTGTCACCCATTGTCCGGAGTTTAGTTCTGGGGATGGAGAGGAGGTTGGTGTCTGCGGACCGGAGTGCTCTGGTTATGGGCGGAGGAGTGAGAAGTTCTGTGAGATAGTCCGGGGCATGTCCGTGGATGCATTGGTAGGTGAGGAGGCAGATTTTGTATTGGATGCGTTGGATGATTGGAAGCCAGTGAAGATCGCGGAGGACTGGGGTGATGTGCTGGTGCTTCGGCGTCCTCGTCAGGATCCTGGCAGCAGTATTTTGGATATGCTGAAGCTTTTGAAGGCTTTTTGCCGGGATCCCGACGAGGAGGGCGTTGCAGTAATCCAGCCTGGAAGAGACAAAGGCATGAACTAAAGTTTCAGCGTCAGAGGGGGAGAGAGTGGAGCGGAGTTTGGAGATGTTTTTGAGATGAAAAAAGGAGATTCTACAGAGATTTTGGATATGGTGTTCAAATGACAGGATGGGGTCAAAAATGACTCCCAGGTTGCGGACAGTGGGGGAGAGGGGCAGGGTGAGACCGGAGAATGCAATACCAGAGATGGAGGGGGATTTGAGTTGGTGGGGGGTTCCGATAAGAATAGCCTCAGTTTTGGAATGGTTTAGTTGTAAGAAGTTTTCTGCCATCCATGCCTTTGTCTCCTCCAGGCAGGCTGCCAGGGCTGAGTGTGGGGCTGATGTGGAGACAGAGTTAGTGCGCAGGTAGAGCTGAGTATCATCGGCATAGCAATGGAAGGAGATACCATGCTTGCCGATGATGTGGCCGAGGGGGAGCATGTAGATGTTAAATAGGGTAGGGCCAAGGACCGACCCTTGAGGGACCCCGCATGTGACAATGCGGGGCCGTGACCTTGCGTCCCCTAGGGCCACGTACTCAACTCTACCTGCCAGGAATGACTTGAACCAGGAGAGAGTTGTTGCAGACAGACCAATGTTGTGCTGTAGGCGGTGGAGCAGGATGTTGTGATCGACCGTATCAAAAGCAGCTGTTAAATCAAGAAGGATGAGAAGTGAGGGGGAGCCCTGGTCAGAGTTCATCAAGAGGTCATTGGTGACCCTGACCAGGGCTGTCTCTGTACTGTGCGCAGAACGAAAACCGGATTGAAATTTTTCATAAAGCGAGTTTGCACGGAGGTGATCGTGGAGCTGGCCAGCTACAGTCCTCTCCAAAACCTTCGAGAGGAATGGAAGGTTGGAGATGGGCCTGTAGCTGGCCAGGTCATCGTAATTGAGGTTGTGTTTTTTAAGATGTGGTCTGATGAGTGCGGTTTTGAGTGCAGAGGCGACAGTGCCAGTGCGAAGGGAACAGTTTATAATTGTGGTAATGAGCGGGCTAAGTTCTGGGATGTTAGATTTTAACAGGATGGTGGGAAGTGGATCAGTGGGACATGTGCTTGGCTTCATTTTTCAAATAATTGCTTCGACCTCCTGCGGAGTCACCTCTTCAAAGTCTGCCAGGGTGTTTTCAGGGGCAGAGGAAACCGAGGGCAGCCGAATGGTTTGCGCCAGGGGTCCACGGATGGTGTCAACTTTGAGAGCAAAAAAGTCACTGAATTTTTTGCATTGTGCTTCTGTTTCACAGATGGCAGCAGATGTTTTGGGACTTAGGAGCTGTTTTACGGTTGCAAAGAGCTGTTGAGAATTTCCTGGATTTTTATTGATTATTCTAGAGTGGTAGGTTGATTTGGCTTCAGATAACAAGGTAGAGTAATGTTTTTGATGGTCCCGATATGCAATTTTGTGCACAGTAAGTCCTGATTTAACGTACCGCCTTTCAAGACAGCGTCCAGTTGCTTTCACTTTTCTCAGAGTCCAGGCCCTCTTCAGCAGAGGGGAAGTCAGCAGAAAGTGTTTTAAGATCTGTAGACAAAGCAGTACGATCAATTTTATTTAAACTCCTGAAGGAGATTTGACGTTTGTTTTTTGCATGAGGCGGGCATATTGGTAATTCCACTGAAACAGCACAGTGATCTGAAACACCCATGTCATACACTTGGGGGCTCTTTACTAGAGGAGTGTCTGTTATCACCAGGTCCAGCGTGTGACCTTTTGCGTGTGTGCTGTTTCAGGTCAAGGCAATCAAGAACTTGGTGGAAGTCCGCCACCAGGTGGCCAGATGGGTTGTCAACATGAATATTGAAATCCCCCAAAATGAGGACATTTGCTGTTGTTGAACAAAATGACATAAGTAGGTCATTTAACTCAGGAAGAAAGTGGGGATTTGATTTAGGTGGCCGGTAAATTAAAATAACTGTCACCAGGACGGGGTGCCCACATTTGAATGCCAGGCACTCAAAAGATGATGTAATTGGTACTGGGTGTGGGGCCACTGGGAGGTCGGCCCGATGTATCACAGCCAGGCCCCCTCCCCTACCAGTGGTGCGAGCCTTCTCCAGGTACGTGTAACCAGCAGGACATGCCTCATTTAACACCGAGTATTGTTCAGGTCTGTGCCAGGTCTCAGTAACGCACATGAGGTCAATCCTGTTATCCAGAATATGTGAGTGAAGCAGGCACGCTTTGTTAGTAAGCGACTGCGCATTTAACTGAACAAGCTTAATATGAGAGGAAGGTTTGAGTTTGGTCAATGGGCGAAGGGCACTAAAATCCACGCCGGGTTTCCCACCCTTCCTCGTCCCGTTCAGCGATGCGGGGAAAGGAATGTTCGGATCCACTTCGGGATTTCCAACAAGCCCGTACGCCAAAGCGTCAACTAGTCCGATGTTTTCGGCGCTCTGATGACGTGTTGAGTCTGCGACAGACCGAGCCGGAGACCAGACCGAGGGTATGGATGATTCTCCGTTGTTGTTGGAGTAAATAAATCCACGGCGAGACCCCCGGTGTACATAGCGGGGTCGGCGAAGGATTCCCAGTTTCTTGACGACATCCACCGGAGCAAGAGCATGAGTGTTCAAAGCCAGGAGCCGCGTCGACTTGTATCTGAGCATGTTACCGAGAGAAGAGGTAGCTGTGGTGTTGAGGTTAGCTGATGCCGGCTAGGACAATCCACGGGGAACCACCTTGCAACACCGGCAGTGGGATGATAGATCCAGCAGCAGGACAGCAGATTCAATCCCAGGCCGTTTGTGGCAGGCTGCTCAGTTGGCGTTTTGAGAGCAGGAATCGTCGACAGGTAGGAAAAAGGGCTTAACACAGTCTGTCCCTCAGTACAAATCGCTTAAAACATGGCATAAGAACCATTATGCAGAGTAAAAGCTATTAAAACGGTACATATTTAGCTTTTTGGGCGGAGGAGAAGCGGCGACAGTCACGCCAGCGTCCTCTCCTCCCGCCTCTTCGTCACCCGATATTACCAAACTACTTTGCAAGAACCAGTTACAACACTAGACCCGTAGGCTGCCTCTACCAAGAGCACCTCACGGTCCAAATCAAATCCAAGCGTTCAGAACGGAGTGGGCGACCGACCCTTCTGAAACGTCGACCAGATACGACTGAGCAAAGGAGGAGGACGAAGTCCAGGACGCCGCCAGACCGACCTCCTCCACCAAGGCCCCCCGGAGCAGAGCCATGGAGGCGCGACCCCCCGTGTGGAGTGTGCCCTGAACCCCACCGGGGAAACCAATCCCTGAGCCTGGTACGCCATGCGAACCGCCCGGGAAGCCCTGTGCGCCAGCTGCTGAGAAGTCAACACCCCTGTTTTTAGGGCCCAAACACACAACAGCTGATCAGAACGCATGAAAGAAGCTGTAACGTCCAGGTAGCATCTCAGCATCTTGATTGGGCACAAAAGCAGAAGCGTCCGTGAACACCTCCACGTGTGACACGGTACAGACCAGGGGCACCCCGTCCTGTTACAGACCCGGGGTTACATTCCCGTCCCGTGAGGGGTGACGCCTGAGACGGGAGAAACACCTCTGAAATCATCTCATGTGGAGGAAGCCCAGAGCATGGGCCGCCGCCCTCATCCCCAGGAGCGACGTGAGGCTCCAAGCGAGCACTCTGGGAGCGGTCACGCCTCCCTGGCCAGGCGGGTGATGTTCCCTCGCTGTATCCCTCCCACAGCGAAGTGCAGAAAGCATCTGTGCTCTGTCACTATCTCTATGTGGAAATAGGCATCTGTCAAGTCTATGGCAGACATCCTATCTCCGGGCCTGACACACTCCAGCAGCTGCTTCATGGAGAGCATGCGGAACGGCCGTTTGGAGATGCACTGGTTTAATACGCGCAGATCCAAGAGGGTGCCTGACTTCTTGGGCACCAAGAAGTACGGGGAGTACAGCCCCCTGGAGGCGCCCCGTTCAAGCAGAGAGGCAACCTCCAGCTGGAGGGCCTCCTCTGCTCTATGCCCCCAGGAGTGTGCCGCTCGAAAAAACCTGGAACGGCAGTGGCCTCTGAGCGAACTGCAGGGCATACCCCCTGCGCTGCGTCTTCTCTACCCAGGCGTCTGAGAGTAGAGTAGTAGCTCTCTCCAGACCCGGTAATAACTAGTGAGGGGGAGTACAGGACCTGGAATACTTGCTCCGAGTGCCCCCCACTCTCCTGGTGCTCCCACAGGAGAGGGGGGTGCTCCAAAGGGCCGGGGGTCCCTAAGCGCTCCACTGCGTGAGACAGATGGGTCCAGACCCTCTGTCCCACTTATAGCAGCCTGACTCTTACGCTTCACTCCTCTCCGAGAGGATCAAGCGCTAGTCATATCAGAGACTGGAGTAAAGGTAAGAACTGCAGCAGTCTGACTCACACGCATTAAGCCTCCCCGAGAGGAAAAGCGCTAGACCTGCTAGTACCTGAAGCGGTGGTCTGGACTAGCCTGTCCCACTCGTAGCAGCCTGACTCCTACGCTTCACTCCTCTCCGAGAGGATGAAGCGCTAGCCTCACTAGTGCCTGGAGTAGTGTTCAGGACAATAGCAGTCTGACTCTCACGCTTCATTCCTCTTCGAGAGGATGAAACGCTAGTCTCACTATTACTTGGAGTAACGGTCTGGACTGGCCGCTGCAGACCGCTCTCCACCAAGTGTGAATGAGCTGTTCACGAGACAACACTGCCCTCAACCTGACCAGACCCCCTCTCCCACTTATAACAGCCTGACTCTTGCGCTTCACTCCTCTCCGAGAGGATGGAGCGCTGATCTCACTCGTATCTGGAGCAGTGGTCTGGTCTGGCTGCTGTAAACCACCTCCACACGCTTTCCCCTGATAGCAGAAGATTCAGCCTCAGCAAGCTGTCTCTGCTTGTTAGAAAATGTCACAATCATGTCCTTAGTTTTACTGATACTAAGCTCTAAGTAGGAATTATCACACCATGAGATGAACTCCTGTAGAGCAGGACCATGACCCAGAGAGGGAGCAGACAGTAAGGACAGGAGAACTGAGTCGTCAGCAAACTTAACCCAATAACAGTTTGGCTGAGTTGACCTACAATCGTCCGTGTAGAGGATGTACAGAAGGGGTGATAAAACACATCCCTGTGGGGTGCCAGTGGATGTGAGCAGAACATCGGACATCATATTGTTCACTTGTACTCTCTGAGTTCTCCCTGTGAGGAAACTAATAATCCACAAGATGAGCTGATGGTTAGTTTATCTGCAAGGATGTAAGGCTGCATGGTGTTAAAAGCAGATGAAAAATCAGCAAACAGGAGCCTGGCAATTGAATTTGGGGTTTCCAGATGTTTGTGGATGGTGTCTAATAAAAATGTTAGCATCTTCCACACACCGGGCAGACCTGTAAACGAACTGCAGAGGGTCCATCAGAGGCTCAACCATTTCAGTGATGAAACCTTTAATAATCCTCACCAGGCTCTTCATCTAAGGAGGTTAAAGCCACAGGTCTCAGATAATTGAGGACCCTTGCAGTTCCTCTTTTAGGGACTGGGATCACTGTAGACTGCTTCCAGACATCCGGCACTGTGCTGTTGTTAATGGAGCTCTGGAAGAGCAGCTTAAAAACCCCTCCCAATTGCTCCGCACAGTGACTCAGTGTACGTCCACAGATGTTATCATGACCTGGAGCAGTGTTGATTTTAGTCCTTTTAAGGGAGCGCACAACCTCTTCCTCACTGATGGTGAGAGGTGTTCCCCTGGGCATTAAGGTGGAGACCACCTCAGTGAGTTCAGTGGAGTTGTCCTTTTCAAACCGAGTGAAGAAGAGGTTCAGATCATTAGGAAGAGATGAAACATTGTGACCATCAATCTCAATGGGCTTACGTCCACAAGAATCTGTATTTACAGCCGCCATATTCTTAAGTCCCTGCCAAGCAGCCCGGAGATTGCCTTGAGTAAAAGAGAGCTCTACCTTGTTCTTATAGTTTTTCTGAGCCTTTTTGATTGCACGTTTTACTTCCTTATTATCTTTTCAAGATCTGTACCAGTGAAAAATACTCTTTTCTTCTTGTTTAATATCTGCTTCAGGTCTTTGGAAATCCATGGCTTATTGTTCGGAAAAATAGTCACTGTCTTTGTGGTAATAATGCTATCGACATAGAATGTTATGTATGCTGACACAGTCTCCACCTGATCATTTAGGTCATCAGAGGATGTTAAACAGACCCAATCAGTGGATTCAAAACATCCCTGAAGCTCATCAATGCTATCAGGGGTCCACTGCTTGATGGTTTTAGTGATTGGGGAGGACCGTTTGACTACAGGTAAGTATGATGGTGCCAACAGGATAGCATAGTGGTCAGCTGAACCAATGGGAGGAAGCGGGACAGATTTATATGCACCTAAAACAGAGCCATAGCACTTATCAAGTGTGCTGTTAAATCTGGTTGTGCATACTGGTGGTAACCTTTGAGTGATTTATCTGGTGAGCACTTATTAAAATCACCCATTAAAAATGTAGGGGCATCGGGGGAGATTAACTCTAATTTATCAAGTGTTTTTTTAATGTGTTCAATGGCAACAGCTGATTTTGCCTTGGGATGGACATAAATGAGAATTAAAAAAAAGTTGGGGGAATTCCCTAGGCAAATAAAAAGGGCGCAGGGAAATGGCCAATAATTCAATGTCTGAATTACACAACTTTTCTCTGACTGTCACTGTGGTACACCAGCGTGGGTTGACGTAAAAACAAACACCGCCTCCCAGCTGTTTCCCAGTCAGGTGCTTGTCTCTGTCCAGCCGCAGGGGGGAGCCAAAGCCATCAAAGAGAAGAGCATCATTGTTGTCATTTTCATTTAACCAAGTTTCTGTGAATGCCAAGACTGATGTGGTGCGGTACTCGTACATATGGCTGCTGTTAGCCTTCAGTTCATCTGTCTTATTTCTTAGTGACCGCACATTGGAAAGTATGACAGACGGAAGACCGCGCCACTTCATACTTTCGCGCTTCAGCCTGGTTCTGACCCCGGCTTTCTTCTTTCCTCTGCGCGTCCTCTTTTTACTGTCCTAGCGTGAAGGGCTCGAGGTGTCATCCCGCTGGATCTCGCGAGGAATAACCCCAGTGTAAACATCCTGACCAGGCTGAAATTGTAACTGCATCAGCGTATCTCTTGAATAAGTGATCCAATGACTGTTGCCATGGTCCGAGGGGCTGAGTTCACTTGTCACGCACGCAAAGTAGTCCCAAGAGTACAGAAGAAACAGGATAATCCAGAGAGGCCCGGTGAAGTCCATGATTCAACAGGTGAGGGGCCAGCGACGCCAGATGACTTAAAGCGCAGGTAGACAATCACGCTGGTAAACACCATGTACCAGTACAGCTCCAAACACGCATTCATACACCAAACGAAACCAAACAGGCATTGAATAAAACGTAAAAATGCCATAAAATCGTTAAAAACTTAAAACTCTCTGTACACCGGTCACCACATGAGCAGTGACCTGGAAGTTTTTTCTTGGCCTCACACAGGTCCTTGCTGCTGAGCACCCGGCCCGCGGAGAGAGATTTGTCCAGCGCTCCGTGAGGAAGGCCATGTTGCTAGCCAACGCGACCACCTGAGACGCGTTGGCGTAGCATTTATCCAGGACAGACATTGTCATCCTATCC